AGCAGATGTTCTGCTCCTAGATAAGGCTTCTCCCTCAGGTGTGGCGAGGGCTTCAGAGGGGGCCAAGACACAGTTCTGGCCCCAAAGGGAGTCTCAGTTGTGGGAGAGGTTGCAGTGGAAAACTGGGGGGTTAGGAGTGGTTTGGCCCTTTGTTCCTGGGGAAGTCCAGCTCGCACTGGCCAGAGGAAGCTGCATAGTGGCGGAGAGAGTGACGTGCACAGGGTTGACCACAGCAAACTTGGGAAGCCAGAGACATTGTCTTTAGTGCGTCTCAATGGAATCGGGTTTGAGTCTAGGCTCTGTAGGTGACCTTGAGCAATTGACCCATCTTTTCTGAGATTCAGAAATGGAGAATGTATCTCCCTTACACAGTCATCAGGATAAAATGTGGAATGTGAAAGCACTTTGGAACCATATAATCCTACATAAGTAGCAGATATAAGTGGTCTAACGACCTTCCTCCTTCCTGTTCCCGAGCTCTTCCTCCCAATCCATCACACCATTCTTCCCATGTGCTCGGCTCCCATAATTCTTCGGGAATTTTCTCCAGACCTTTCCCTTCTTGGGAAGAACCTATTCCTCATTTCTATTCCAAACCTCCACTAATTGACAAAGAGCAGAGGATTGGATAAACTAATTTACATTAAGGTGTGTATGAGTCTGCTAGAGTTGCCATAACAAAATACTGTAGACCGGATAGATTAAACAACAGCACCTTATTTTTTCTCAGTTCTGGAGGCCGGAATTCCAAGATCAAGGTGCTGGCAGGGTTGGTTTCCTCTGAGGCCCCTCCCTCTCCTTGGTGTGCAGATGGCGGCCTTCCCAAAGTCTTTTCTCTGTGCTTACACACCCCTGACATCTCTTTATGTGTCCAAATGTCCTCTTCTCATGAGGATGCCAGTCGGATTGGATTAGGACCCACCATGAGATGTCGTTGAACTTCAATTACTTCTTTCTTTCTTTCTTTATTTTTTTAAAGATTTTATTTATTTATCAGAGAAAGAGAGACAGAGGCAGGCAGAGGGAGAAGCAGGCTCCTTGCTCAGCAAGGAGCCCGATGTGGGGCTCGATCCCAGGACCCTGGGATCATGACCTGAGCCGAAGGCAGACGCTTAACCAACTGAGCCACCCAGGCGTCCCTTTAATTACTTCTTTAAAGGTCCATTCTCTAAACATGGCCACATTTTGGGCCTCTATGGGTTAGAGCTTCAACGTAAGACTTTCGGAAAACACAATGCAGCCCATAGCAAAGAGTTAAGAATCAACGATCTCCTCCTTCTAAAGTTGCTTGCATTGGTGGCGAGGATGCTGAAGGAGGAATCATAGAGGAAAGGAGGACTGGATACAGGATGGTAGATTCTAGCATCTCATGACCAGTTGGGTGTGGGGGGGGTGGATTTTTGGCTGGGGATTTTCTTGGCACCCTTCACAGACCAACATAGAGGCAGCCACCTGCTCTGCCCATGAAACACGGCTGGCGCTGGGTAGATGGACTGCATTTCATTTTCTTCCCGGATTCCAAAGAAATAAGCCACTCTCACCTCCCTGCCTCTAAGGAACACCAGTATTTTTTAAATAGTTCCTTGGACAGCAGCTGTTTCAGCCCTGCCTGGAGAATTGAGCCACCAGCCTTGCCAACTGTTGAGTACTACAGGGAGAGGCATTATGTGAGTCTGAGAAAGGAAGAACTCCAAAGTGTTCAGCAGAAGGGCACAGCCCTGAACCGGCTGCCACTTCTCCGAGTCGGGGAGCCAGCCCTGCTCCAGCTGCAGCCAGCAGTGGAGATAAATTACCTGCTGTGGTTTGTGGGGGAAGCAAGAGAGAAAGGGGATTTTTTTTTTTTTTAGCTTTTTGTAAAAAGAACCCGGTTCTTGCCTTGGGTCACTCAGAGACTCAGTGCTAGAATCTGGCTACGTTGTTGGCAGAAAACAGCCAACTGAGCCCAGCAGCGACCAGTGTCCTTCAGAGAGGGCGTCAGGACTCCACCTGTCCCCTGGAGAGACGGGGTTTCTCCAAATGATATTTCCGACTCATCCTTCTGTGCCTGGGAGGGACAGAAACTTTCATCATCACTCTGCTTGAAGAAAATGTGTGTGTGTGTGTGTGTGTCCGTCCGCACGCGTGCACACGCATGCACAAACACCTTCACCACTGCAGCCTTTGAATTCAGAGATCTGTCGGAGCTTTTAGAAACAAAATACTCAACAAATGAAAAATAATTTTAGCTTGCGAATCAGGAGGGATTTCCTTATCTCTTGCTAATCTGAGAGGAAGGACCTTTCATATCTAAACACGCACACACACACACTCGCAGCTGATTTTGTGCATTAAAAACAATAGAGGAAATATTTTGCTCCAGCCTCTCTGTCCTTGTTCGCAGGAAATGAGGCTCACCACATCCAGGCCATCATCATAAGCACTGCTTTCTTCTTAGTTTTTATACAGCTCTCGAGCTATAATCCAAAGCCTGTTGTTTACATTTGCAGCCTGCAAACAGCCTGCTAGGGAATGGCCCAGAATCCATAAGGAACTGCAGGCTTTGCCAGTGGGAGTCACCTGCTGAATTCCGCGGTCAGACAAGACCCGGGGAAGCTTCTCCATCTGTCTGCAGTGGGAATCGTTGCTGCCGGGGCAGAATGACGGAAGTTCAGAGAAGACTGCGGGCCTCAGGCCGTCAGAGAGGTGAGGGAGGTAGCTCCTTCCCTAGGACGTGATTTGTAGTCATTTGCTGAGAAACTTCCCTTGCTGTGTTGAGCTGCAGCTGTCGGGATAAAAGGTGCTTTCTCAGAGATAAAGAAGGCCACCACCTTCAGCCAAGAGAAAGAGGGAAGAAGAATAGATACAGAGAAGCTAAGGGGAAACTAAGATTCTGTTGCCCGAGAGAAAGAAAGGAAGCAAAGGTCTCCTGGTGCCGGGATTGAAATAGGAAGTAGATGGTGAAAAGCAGACCTTGTGCGGGGACACATGGGCGGAGTTACATGCTGGTGACAAAGAGCCCCACTGTTTCCGCAGCTTCAAACAACACAAGTTCATTTCTCAGGCACGTTGATTGTTCTTCGCAGACCAGCCGGCAGCTCTGTCTCTTGTGAACATACAGGAACTGGGCCCGTGGAGGCTCCATCTTGACTTTGAGGCAAGAAGATAAGAACATGCACGAAGTTTCTATTGAGCACCGGGTCTTCAAGCTCCCACACAAAATAGATGCGGCTGTCACGTGTCACTACCATGGCAACACTGGCTCACAGCTGACTTCCAATCCTAATGACTACCCCAGCAAGCATCACCAAATGAGAGAAGAATGGAGGAAGACACAGGGAGTGGTAACGAGGGTGACACACATCAGAGGGGCGGGGGGGGGGGGGCAGGAGTGGGGGATTGGGTGGGGATCCCTGCATATATCCAGGAGGGTGTAAATCTGGCAGGGACGTAATGTCACCATGTTCCTACATATAAAATCTTGAGGTCAGTACAACCTTGCTCCTAAAGATGCTGAACTGTGATGTGGACATGCGTGCGCATGCACACACGAAGCCATCGATTCTCGTCAGTAAGGTGGTATCAATTTGGGCCCATTCTCCGACACAGGTTGGACAATGTCAGAACTTTTCACAATGTCTTTTGTCTCTTGTTTTCTTTCTCCATCTTTGGGTCTCTCCTTCATCTATTTTTTTCTGGCCTAGCTTCCAGTTTGCATATTTTCTTTTGTGCTCTATCTAATCTGATATTAAACCCATCCAGTGTGGTCTTCATTTCAATGATGATGTTTTTCCACACCAGAATTTCCATTTGGTTCATCTTTTATAATTTTTAACAGAAATTTCCAGTTATCCATCAAAATCCTTCACCCTTTTATTTCTTAAACATGTTTGTCATGGTTATTTTGAAGTTTGGGTCTGCTTTATGATCTGGACCTGCTGTGGGTCTGTTTCTATTGTCTATTTTTGTCTTCATTTTTGGTCATGTTTTATCTTCTCCACGCCTAATTATGTCTTAATGAGTGCCGGATATTGTATATGAACATCTGCAGAGATCATTTGAGGCTTTTGATGCTGTGATATTCTTCCAGAGAGGATGCACTTTTGCTTCTGGCAGTCATCTAGGCTACAAACACTCACAATTCCAGATTGCCTTAATTCAATCAAGGATTTAGATTATTTGAAATTGAGCTTCAGACCCTGACAGGGCTGGTCTGTTGGTTCACACTTATTTCCAAGGCAAATGATAGCCTTGGATATTTTCCTGGGCTTCCCTCCTCTGCTGTTTCTGAAACCCATGGTGTCTCTGTCTCTCTCTGTCTCTCTCTTTTTATTTGAAGTATAATTGACACACAGTTTGAAGTATAGCACACACAGTTCAGGTATACGACATAGTGATTTGACAATTCTATAGGTTATGCTCTGCTCATTACAAGCAAAGCTACCATCTGTCCCCATACCATGCCATTACAATATCATCGACCATATTCTTTATGCTTGTACCTTTTATTCCCATGACTTATTCATTCCATAACTGGAAGCCTGTATCTCCCACTCCTCTTCACCCATTTCATCCAGCCCCCACCCCCACCCCCACCCCCTGCCTCTCTTCCCTCAGGCAACCATCAGCTGCTTCTCTGTATTTCTAGGTCTGATTCTGCTTTTTGTTTGTTTTTCATTTGGTTTGTTTTTTAGATTTCACATATAAATGGCATGATGAAACCCATAGTCTCTTGCTGTGTGGAGAACTCCGCTCAGTTTTTCAGGCCTTAGGCCTCCACGTTCAGAATTTGCGTACGCCTCTGAGGACAAGTTCTCCCAGGCACCAGGCTCACCCCTTGGCCTCCTTTCTTTCTTAGAACTGCAATTCCTTGCTGCTTTCATAGCTCTCTGGTCCCTCCAAACAGATGTTGTTACAGCTACACCAGTCTTCCTAGCTGTTCTTGGGGGGAGAACCACTTCCAGAAGTGGAAAATTCGGGAAGTGACATTAGGACGGAGACCTGAGTGCAGAAGAGCTGGCATTGTCAGGATCTGGGGAAGAGTGCCAAGGCCGGGAGGTATATCAAGAACAATCATTTGCGGTGAGTGAAAAACGTGGCTGTGTTCAAGGAGCAGATAGGCCACTGTGGGTGGGGATCGGTGGACGAGGAGAACGGTATGGCAAGAGGCCAGCCAGGTAGCAGGGCCCAGATCGTGTGGGTGCTGGAGGCCGCGGAAAGCAACGTAGGTCTTCCCCTAAGGAAGATTCAGAGGGATGTGGACACAGTGCTCCATATGTTTGTGGCATCAGCTGCTGCCATCATGGCACTTGTCGTTACCATAGGGTGGTTCATGGAGGGTGTTCAGTTCACAGGAACTTGAAATAAATGACCTGAAGGTCCTACTTGTAGACCTGAAAACTAACAAAAAGTCCTAAGTTTTTGGTTTATCCATAAACCAGGCAGTTTCCCTACATGAGAGCATGTGGCTATGGAGAGCAAATAGGAACAAACTTGGCAATGCCATTCATTGGCACTGGGGCTCTGCTGGGGCTCCAGGAAAATGGCCGGTTGACTGGATGCTTTCCCCCTTCCCTGTTTTCTTTTCCTTCTTCCTCCTTCCTTCTCTCCATTACCGTTGCTTTCAGGCCATCCAGTGAGCCAGTCAAAGTCCCCACAATGTCTAGGCCTTCCAGAAAGCTCAAGCCAAGCCTCCTGTTCCCTGAGCTTTATGACTCCATTTACTTACGGATCGCTGCCTTGGAGGGTAATAAATACGCATTGAATAAATGTGTGACTGAGTGTCTGGGCAAAGTAATTCACAAAAAGGTCTACTATACTTGACTCTCTCCGGAGAGAAATGTGTTTACCTAACTGAATGTATTATCCCTAGGTGACGTCTCAGAGCTAATTTTGAGCAGAATTTCAAAGTAGTTTTCTTTTCTCAGGAAGCGTTCCAGGGACTAGAAGGCCTGATCTCAGCACAAAACCCTGATAATTGAGCTCAAGTCCTCTCTCACCATTTGGAAGTGGCTCAGCACAGTCAAGAAGCTCAAGGAACAGAGGTTACTGCTTCTGGGGACGCGCTTTGGCGTGGGAAGGTAGGTACTAAGACATTCAAAACTGGAGATCACGTCTCCATGAATGCAAGGGACTCACACATCACGTTCCGTTCATAGGAACTTGAAATCAATGATTCAAAGTCCTACTTGTAGATCGAAGACCTTATCCAGGGCCGATCTTCTTCTCTGTGCTTGAGGATCTTAATTTCATACAGTCATATGATTGGTCTGAATCCAGGAATGAATAGCTGCAGGGTTATTCCCCCAAGAGATATCTCTGAAAGAGTGAGAAGAAAAAGGAGAAGGAAAATATCTTTCTCTATATTAACATTTTCTCTAATGGCATCTTCTCATACTGTGTCCTTCAGGCACATGTCACCCGTAGTGAAGATTTTCTGGGCTTGTGACTGTGTCTTGGGCAGGAAATCAATCCGTTCCATTTAAGGGGTACAGCAGGCCTGGTCATGCTCAGCTGGGTGTTTCTTACCTCCTCTCTCTGGCTGATGATGTGCCCTTGATACAGCTGTGTGTGCAATCTACTGTCTTTTCTGGAAGTACTGGTTCATTCACAATCCGGAGCCCTTCGTAGAAGACATGTCCCCTTGTTTTGTTGTGTCCTGTGACACGTTCGATGAGCTGAGCAGCATTCTGATTGTGTCATACCAGGAAGGTGGCTCAATACTGAGCTCTTTGACAAGAGAATTCAGTGGCAGAAATCTTCAAGAACAACAGCTCTGGGACCCAGAAATGGTGCTGTTTTCCTGCCCCATAGCTTCAACTCAGGCAGTTAGGATCACCGATGGCAGTGGAACAGAGGGCCCTCCTGGCAGCATTCTTAAATCTGATTCTAGAATAAATAGAGTCATCGCACAGGAAGTGCCTGCAAACAAACGTCTTGCATCCATGAGGATGAGGCTCTGTTTCCCGCCTGACCTGCCTCATTGGCACGGGGCCCATCCGTCTGAGCAGAGTTAGGTAAGAAGCATCTCATGGGAAAGAAGTGAGCAATGGGAGAAGTGAAGTGATTTACTCGAGATCACAAATCAGTGCTGGATTTTCCTGAGAGAACCTAACTTCCTATTCCCCAAACTCAAGGTATGGAAGCCTGCTGTCAGCCAGGCTGAAGGGTCCAAGGGGCCGAGTATTGATTCATCGATGCACTCAGTGATTTTTGGGGGAAGGGGTACGGGCATTTCTCATAGCTGCCGACAAGCTGATGTGGCCCCACTGTCACAGAACCTTCATTCGAGAGGGAGAGACAGACAATACATAACAGACAAACAGCAGTGTGATCAATACTATGATGGATCCACACAGGCTGAGGCTCGGGAGTTTCTGAGAGCGGTCAGGGAGGCACCTCTGAGGAGGGGGGACATTCAGGGTGCCAAGACCAAAGGGAGAGCTGGAGCCCGCCAAGCCCAGGTGGCAGGACGTGGGGGTGCAAAGTGGGGGAACAGTTTGACATGTTTCCGAAATTATCACGGTCTCACTAGCCTGGCAGTGTGATGAGCAAAGGGCAGAGCAGCAAAAGATGACGAGGGACAAGGGAGCTGCCGGGCTGGGCTGGACTCTCTCATAGGTTAGGGACTTGAACTTTTCTCTGAGCACCAGGGGCAGCTAGCAAAGCTTCCCAAGCAGGAATGGCCACAGTCTGATTGTACTTTTAAAGGATCCGTCTGGATATATATGGAAAACTTAGACTTTGAGGGACCAGAGTGGCAACAGGAACTTACTGCATCACCAGGAGATGATGGGGGCGTGGACCAGGTGGTGGCCATGGGGTGGCGGGAGTGGGCCGAGGCTCGTTATATTTTGGGTGTAGAATTGGCAGGACATACAAATGGTGGGATGTTGGGGTGGGCAGAATGAGAGGACGGAGGAGCCCAGGATGTTACCTAGATTCTTGGCTTCAGCAACTAGCTGAGTTGAGAGAGAGAGCAGAACCCACCCTCAGCAAGGTGCCTCTCTCGTGGCGAGGAAGACAAGGGGAGAAACAGGTTTGCAGGATAGGAAATCAGAGTTCTGCTTTGCACATTCTCTCCAAGTGCAGAGGTAAAGCAAGCTGTCGAATATATACATCTGGTACTGAGAGGCGTTGTTGGGGTTGAAGAGAAGAATTTGCCAGTCACCAAGATGTAGACGGTATTTAAGGAAATTGGAATAAACTAGACTACCAGGGAAGAAAATGTAGCTAGAAAGCAGATGTGAAACTCTTCTGAGTTTAACTGTCTTATGGGGAAGAGAAGCCCACGGGGTGACTATGCAGGTATATTTGTTTGCTGTCGCACCACAACCAACACCACAGATGTGGTGGAAAGGCATCTATGCAATGGGAGAAAATATTTGCAAACCGCAAATCCAGTCAGGGGTTAATGTTCAAAATATACAAGGATTCGTACAACTCAATAGCAAAAAACCCAAACAATCCAATCAAAAAAAGAGCAGAGGAACTGAATAGACATTTTTTCCAAAGAAAACATACTACAAATGGCCAACAGGTCTGGGCAAAGATGTTCAACATTAGTAATCACCAGGGAAACATAGATCAAAACCGCAATGAGGTGATCGTCTTATACCTGTGGGCCTGATTGTCATAAAAAGACAGGAGGTAGGGGCGCCTGGGTGGCTCAGTTGGTTAGGTGTCCGACTCTCGATTTTGGCTCAGGTCGTGATCTCGGAGTCACGAGATCAAGCCCCCTGTCGGGCTTTACACTGGGCATGGAGTCTGCTTGAGATTCTCTCTCTCTCTCTCTCTCTCTCAAAAGAAAGAAAGAAAAAAGAAAAACAAAAGACAGGCGATAATGTGTTGGCGAGGGTGCGGACTAAAGGGAACCCTGTGCACTGTTGGGTGGGAATGTGAATTGGTGCAGCCATTGTGGAAAACAGTATGGAGGATCCTCAAAAAATTAAAAATAGAACGTCCCTAGGATCCAGCCCTGGGACAAGCCGTCTGCAGATGTGACTGTGCCAGGTGGAGGGAGCCTGCAGGACAGAGGCTCTGAGGTTTGAGGAACAGTAAGAAGGCCAGTAGAAACAAGAAGAGTTAGAAAGAGGGGGAGAACATCAAAAACTAATGATGTAATGTATGGTGATTAACATAACAATAAAAAATTAAAAAAAAAAGAAAGAGGGAGAGAGCAAGGAGATAAGATCAAAAAGAGAGGTGGCCCAGACCGTACAGGACCCAGGAGGCCATGATAAGGATTTACCCAGGGTGCAATGTGAATCCCATGGGGGTTTTGAGCAGTAAAATAACGACTTTTGATTTTTAAATGAAATTTTGAAATAATTTCAGATTAATAGAGGAGTTGTGAGGGCAGTAGGGAGAATTCCCGTATACTCTCTGCTGGTGTCCAGGCCAGCCTTCCCCTCCCGTTGGGGTAATTAGGAGGCACACAGGCGATGCCGTGGGATTGGGACACGGTGACCCAAGGGATAGTTTGGTGGAGGACCCCACTATGTACAGGTCAGGATTTGTAGGTAGAGAACCAAACTACCTGTCTCCCACTGATTTTCAGTTTGCCCAAATTTCCAACAGGAAGGGGCACATCCCTCAGCAGCATCTACCCCACCTGCTGTACTCAGGGACTTTGTTGCCAGGACTCTCTTCCTACAGCCCCAAGATGCCAAGGTTTCAGAAAAGGAAAAGTTTCTTATCATGAATCGTCAGGATTCTCTGGTTCATGGCCCTTTGTAAGAGGTGTTATTCTGCTGTGCACTTTTTCTCTTCTGTGTCCAGTGCCTCCCTGAGATGCTGAATACCCTTCCTTCCTTCCTTCCTTCCTTCCTTCCTTCCTTCCTTCCATCCATCCATCCTTCCTTCCCTCCCTCCTTCCTTCCTTCCTGGGATTCACACACTCAGTGGGATTCTCTCTGCCATCTGCCACTGTGGGTGAGCAGGAGCGAGTGCCCAGCCACTCAGTTGTGAGCCTAGCTGCCTCACCTTGCTGGCCAACAGGGCCCACCACGGCACACTGGTGGGGAGAGGTCACGCTGATGGTCACAGTGACGATAGAAAGAATTTCATTTTCTGATATCATCCCCCATCTCACTGCTAAGATCAGTGGCCTAGTTTGCTTTCCTGGCTTTTGTCAATCACAAACATTTAGGGCTCTCTCCTCCCTCTTTCTGGTAGAAGAGGGGGAGGCCATGAAAGCTGGGAGAAGGACACCCTGTGTGCCACAAATGTAAAAACATGGGCTAAGGGAGGCTAAGGGAGCTGCAAGACGTTTGAAAGTCTCTGAGCAAAGGTTTCAGGAAGCTGGTGGGAGGGAGCTAGGGGGTGTCTGGGGAGAGAGAAGGGGCCGAGAACCATGCCAGAATCCTGGCACCAGCGGAGAAGGGGCCACTCAGGAAGGGACAGCTGAGGAACTCCAAAGGACAGGGATGTCTAACACTCCACTCTAAATTATCTGCTGACCTGGCTTACAATGTAAACCCTTGCCCTAACCCCCAGAATCCTCCGCGAAATCTACCATGTCAATGTGTCAGTGGTGTTGGTTGCAAACCAAGGAAAGGCGGTGCTTTTGCTCTCTGCTTCCTCTGTAAAGTTCTCCACCTTCAATTTTCCTGGTCCCGAGGAAGAGAAGGAAGGTGGGTGCCTTGATATGTATCATGCCCTCCATTCTCTCACTCCCATGGAAATTCATCCCATATTAATTTTAAGAGCTTTACGCTTATAGAAGGAAAGCATTGCAGTTCAGGTTGTCATTATTTTTTATATTACTTGGTAAGGGAAGAGTTAAAGCTTTCTCAGTGAGTATAAAATCAGCAAGTTTTTTGTTCTCAGAGTAGGATCTACTGAAGAGCCCCAGGAAGGGAGAAGGGCTTTGACGTTAGTGATGATTTTCTGTCGTGAAAAAGCCAGTCAGATGGGAGAAGTGTGGGGGAGGAGGCAGCCCCTTGGTTCAAAAGAATGAAAGTGAGAAAGGGATTTTGAGCTGAGTTTAATGATGCTGCTGCAAAAGTTGGCTTTACGTCTAGGCTAACCTGACATTTTAAGAAAAAATATATGAGACGAGATTCAGCAGCACAGTAGGTGTAGGTGGTACTAGCTTCAGTGGGGGCCCTGCTACTAGGGAGATCAAAGACAGACTGCAGAAAACTGGGATGTTTGGTGGTCAGTGACCAGTAAAAACTAAGAGAGGAGAAAACCACAAAAGCGAATCTGATTGTAAATTCTGTGTGGAGTGCATCAATGCTTAAAATGTCACTGGGGAGGGGTGTGGGCCCCTGTGGTTGTGATAAATTAGTAAGTTAGGAAGGTTTGCACACACTTTGCATCACAGCTCAAGCACCTAAACTCCTAGAACTTTCTCTAGACCATATTGGATTAGAGAGAAAAGTGCTAGTGGGATTATTTTGAAACTTTGGAGCTCAGATGAGATGAAGGTGCCCTCCTGATGTGTATGCCCCCAGTGGCTCAGCAGAAAAGCCTTACTTACCTACCCTGGGGTGCCGGGGTGGCACAGTCGGTTAAGCATCCGTCTGACTCTTGATTTCTGATTTTCAGTCTGCTTTTGTATTGAAATGCAACACTGCCCCAGAGCATATAGTTCTTTCCAAAGCTAGGGCACAGAGACCTCTCAAGGAGGCTCCTGACTTAGTGTTCAGTACCCTGTTATCTCCGATCTCTTGCAGGTAAGAACACTCCACTCTGTTCCCGCACTCGGTCTCAAAGACCTTTCTGCAGACCCTAGATATGTTCATTGCAAGCCCAGTCTCCGTCCTCCACCCAGTTTACTCCCCTGAAAGAACAGACTCCCAAACAGATTAACTATTGTCTGGCCACAGAGGCACAACCTAGAGCCCTTGTGGGGGTTACTGGTGTCAACCAAGAAAGATGTGAGCTAGGAAGTGACAGAAAAGTGTGGGTTATGGAAAGACTAAAAGACATAGCAATGGTATACTGGCCTGTGGGTCCTTGAAGGTGTGGAAAACAAGCCAGCATGGATAGCGATTGCTTAGGATGGATGGATGGATGGATGGATGGATGGATGGATGGATGGGAATGATGGCAGGAAGCTCATAAGGATCATAATAATCATAATTACAGCACTCACCACGTGTGGACTTTTAATTATTACTCTGCACTATGCTAAGCGCTTTACAAGCATGTTCTCAGTTCATCATCAAAACTTCCCTTTTACAGAAGGGAAAACTAAGACTCAGCAAGACTGGGTAATTTAGTCAAGGTCCCCCAGTTAATAAGGCAGAACCAGGCTTGCCACTTAGGTCTGTGTAATTCCATAGACTATGCTTCTTGGCTCAGGATAAAGAAGACTGCTTTCCTGTGAAAGCTATTGATCTGTTGAGAACATATAACTGACCAATCCAGAGCTTATTGTCTTGATGGACTCTAAGAACCTAGGAAGACCTGTAATGATGTGATACGGACACAGTTCATCCACTATCCCCACCGAAGCTCTGAACTTACTGCTTTTACATCCTCAGAGTTCAAGCTCCTGTGGGCAAACCATCAAATATCCCAAATCACCGAGGAAAGAAGAAACCCATGCCTACAGAGCTTCTGGAAAATGCTGTTGGCTCTGCAAGCATCCCTTTCCCTATCAGTAAGAGAGTATGAAAATCCTCTTATGGAAGAATAAAATAATACTGCTAAGACTAATGCTAATAGAGAAATACATTTATTGGGACATTACTAGTGTCCTATGGCTGAGGTTCTGGAATATTCCAGAACATTCTGTCGTTTTGTCTCTAACTCTGCCTCTGACCTGTTCCTGTAAAAGATCATGTGTTAGAGCTGAGCTTTGAGCTCCTATTTTAGCTTTAGTTGTTAGAAAATGCTTCTATTAAGGAGTAATGGGAGGAGTGAGGCTTTAAAAATGGAAATCAAGGGGTGCCAGGGTGGCTCAGTTGGTTAGGCATCCGACTCTTGATTTCTGCTCAGGTCATGATCTCAGGGTCATGAGATCAAGCCCCACTTCGGGCTCTTTGCTGGGCATGGAGCCTGCTTAAAATTCTCTCTCTTCAATGGGCAGAAGACACGAACAGACATTTCTGCAAAGAAGACATCCAAATGGCCAATAGACACATGAAAAGGTGCTCAACATTGCTCGGCATCAGGGAAATCCAAATCAAAATCCCAGTGAGATACCACCTCACACCAGTCAGAAGGGCTAAAATTAACAAGTCAGGAAATGACAGATGTTGGTGAGGATGTGGAGAAAGGGGAACCCTCCTACACTGTTGGTGGGAATGCAAGCTGGTGCAGCCACTCTGGAAAACAGTATGGAGGTTCCTCAAACAGTTGAAAATAAAGCTACTCTATGATCAGCAATTGCACTACTGGGTATTTACCCCAAAGATACAATTGTAGTGATCCAAAGGGGTACATGCACCCCAGTGTTTATAGCAGCAATGTCCACAACAGCCAAACTGTGGAAAGAGCCTAGATGTCCATCAACAGATGAATAGATAAAGAAGATGTGGAATAGATATACAATGGAATATTGTGCAGCCATCAAAAAATGAAATCTTGCCATTTGCAACAACGTGGATGGAACTAGAGGGTATTATGCTAAGCGAAATAAGTCAATCAGAGAAAGACAAGTATCATATAATCTCACTTATATAAGGAATTTGAGAAACAAGACAGAAGTTCATAGGGGAATGGAGGGAAAAATGAAACAAGACGAAACCAGAGAGGGAGACAAACCATAAGAGACTCTTAATCTTAGGAAACAAACTGAGAGTTGCTGGAGTGGTGGGGTGTGGGAGGGATGGGTGGCTGGGTGATGGACACTGGGGAGGGTATGTGCTATGGTGAGCGCTGTGAATTGTGTAAGACTGATGAATCACAGACCTGTACCCCTGAAACAAATAATACATTATATGTTAATAAAAAAAATTAAGAAAATAAAACACAACGTTTATGTGAATTAAAGTGCACGCATAAAAGACAAAAAAAAGAAAAAGATTCTCTCTTTTCCTCTCCCTCTGCTCCTACCACCCGCACTCTAAAAAAAAAAAAAAAAGATATTAAAAATGGAAATCAAGACATTTCAGTCTCTTGCTCAAAGGCCTCCAGAAGTCCCCCCAAGACCTACAAGGCCCCACATGGTCCTGTTGGCCCCCGCATCCACTCTGACTTGATTGCTTCCTCACTCCATCCTTTGACCCCCACTCTGGCTTCCTTGCTGTTCCTCAGAAACCCCAGGGGTGCTCCTGTGTTTGCACTTGTCTTTTTCTACCTAGAAGCATTTGCCTTCAGGTACCTACATGGTGCCCCTTCTTTCTTCCTGTGGGTCTGTGTGTGCTCCAAGGTCACCTTGTAAGAGGAGCTCTCTCTGACCACCCCATATGAAACTGACCATCCAAGCTCTGTCTCCCTTCTTTGCTCTATATTTCTTCAGAGCACGCCTCTCTTCTGGGCCTAGAACAGAGCCTGGCACGCTGTGCTCAATAAAATCTTGTTGACTAAATAAATGAATGAATGAATAATTAACATATTCACTCTTAATGCTAAACTGGATCCAGGTTGTGCTTATGTTTTCTTCGGAGAAATACCAGTGTGTAATCATCCTACCATAGAAAACAGAGAAATGAAGCAATTACTGATTTTCCACTCCCAGGGACAACTTTTACTTAAATGACCTAGAAAATTGAGATCAAACTATATTTTGACCCAAATAGAAGAAGAACTGCTTCAAATTACTTCCTCATTTTATCAGTGATGGCCACGCCCTAGTTTGCTAAGATAAATTAGATTTTCACCCAATGCAGTCCTGGATCACTGGCCTAACTAATGATAAGCAAATTAAGTTTCCACTTTATTTCTTTTTAAAATGAGTCCAACTTAACCAATTTTTAGATTTGACCATGATTTACATTTATAGTTCTTCAGGTACTCCAAACAGACAACGGTTTATGTGCACCAGATTCTTTCAACAGAGAGCTTTTGTTTTAGGGCTGAAATAATCCTATTCATACACTCTACACTTGGTCTAAATATCAAAAGAGCTCCCAGTCATTGCTTATTTGTTGTACATGTGACGCAAGGTCTGCCTCTTCCCTAATTTGAAGGTATTTTTCTCAATTGTAGTTAAAAAGAAGAGGTTTGTCTCGTCCCACCTGAGTCACCTCCTTAGTGGCTATTTTTTAAAAAAAGATTTTATTTATTTATTTGAGAGAGAGAGCGAGCGAGCGAGAGCGAGAGCACATGAGCAGGGGGAGGGGCAGAGGGAGAGAGAATCCTGAGCTGACTGCACTGAGCGCGGGGACTGACGTGAGGCTTGGTCTCAGGACCCTGAAATTAGGACCTGAGGTGAAACGAAGAGTCAGATACTCAACGGACCGAGCCACCCAGGCACCCCCTTAGTGGCTATTTCTTTCCACTTCATGCTCTGTTCCTTTAATTCAAGATAAAAATAAAATATGAAATATTTTTAAAAAATGAACTGGAGGGATATTTGATGTTCACGGATAGGAAGACAGTATTGTTAGGATGTCACTTCTTCTCCCTTGATTTCATGCAATTTAATCAAAATCTCAGCAAATTCTTTTGCGGATATTGACAAATTGATTCTACCATTTATGTGAAAAGGCAAAAGACCCAGAACAACCAACACACTCCTGAAAATGGAGACAAAACAGAAGGCTGACTTCTGGACATCAAGATATACTATAAAGCCACAGTAATTCAGATAGTGTGGTACTGGTGAAGGAATAGACCATTCGATTAGTGGAACAGAAGAGAGAGCCCAGAAACAGACCCACACAAATGTAGTCAACTTATCTTTGACATAGGAGCAAGGGCAAACAATGGAGAAAAGATATTCTTTTCAATAAGCAGTGCTGACAAATGCATGACCATATGCCGAAATACACACACACACAGACACACACCAAAGAACAAAAGTCTAGACACAGACCGTACAACTTCCATACACATTAACTCAGAATACATCTTGGACCTAAATACAAAATGCAAAACTAACGAAGTTCAAGAAGAAAACACAGGAAACAAAATCTAGTGACCTTGGGTTTGGTGATGAGTTTTTGGATACACAAAAACATGATGCACAGAAGAAAAAAGTTGATAAGCTGGACTTTATTCAAATTTAAAAGAATTTTCTGTAAAAGCTACTGCTAAGGGAATGAAAAGAGAAGACCCAGGGTGGGAGAAAATACTTGCAAAAATGACTAGTATCCAAAATATACAGAGAAATCTTAAAACTCAATAATAAGAAAACAAAGAACCCAACTGAAAAAAACTGGGCAAAATATCTGGACACCTCACCAAAGAAGATCCACAGATGGCAAATAAGCATATGAAAAGCTGCTCAACATTATTCGTCATTATGGAATTGCAAATTAAAACAAGATACTATCACACACTTACTAAAGTGGCCAAATTCCAAAAAGCTGACAATACCAAATACTGAAGTCTTTCTTAATGTGTATTTAGAATATATTGTTTCTGAGAATAATTGTATTCTATCCTTGCAAGAGATGAGAGAGAGGATATTTGCACCACAAAAAATAACCAGTAAGATTACTCAAGGGTAAGAGAGAATTCCTACATATCAATAGGAAAAAGAAAACAACCCAATATAGAAAAATGAGCAAAAAACATAAAAAATGTATTTTATCTAAGACAAAGCACATATGGCCGATAAACACATAAAAAGATGGTAAAAGCCTCGGGGGATTTTACAGCATGTGCATAAGTAGACCCTATTTTATACCCATGTGATTACAAAAGTTAAGTCTGACAATGCTAAATATAGTGATAAAAGGGTGATTGGGATCTCCTCTATCTTGCCAGTAGGAAAATAATGTAGCGACCATTTTGTAAAATAATTTGGCATTATCATGTCTCTTGCAATACCTACATATTTGCAATTCCACTACGAGGTAAATACCCAAGAGAATCTATAGCACTTGTGCATTAAGACATGTGCAAGACTTTTCATGAAGACATTGAAAACAGCCCGATGTCCTTTGACAAGAAAATAGATAAATTGTGGCATATCCACACAATGGACTACCACACCACAGTGAAAATAGATTAGCGCCAGCCACATGAGACAACTTGGATGAATCTTCACGGCACTTAAGCTGCTACATGTCTGGAGGATGTTGTTTATCGAGGGGACATGCTTCTGGAAAAGATACAAAGTGCACTTGCTGATATTGCACAGTCATAATTGCAGACAAGGAGTGGTACCCATAGCCAGTCTCTTCCAGACTCATAGTACTGGTATATACCATGTGGCTGAGAAAACTATTTCAGTGCCATTAAGAATTCTGCATCAAATTTAGATGTAAGCCTTACCAACAGTTACAGAAACATTAAGCACTGTGACACATGTTACCTTTTTAGCTATTTTTTAATAGTCTTCTATTTTCACTCTTGATAAGTAAGCCTCTAAAATTGCAATTGAACCAGCTTTAAACCATCATTATGCCATCATTTTTTATTATTGAAATGAAATTATTGAGGCAGATGTTGCATTAATGGTTATAATATAATTAAACAGATGTACTTTAAAATTCAAAAAAAAATATATGGGGTAAAACACACACAAAGAGGAAAAAGGATAAGAACGATAAACACAAAATCCAAGGTGTTAACTTGCTGCAGGAAGCAGGCGGGGAAGTAGATGAGCACATAGGTGGGTGCATGTCATTGGGAAATTTTTAAGTCTCGGGTGAGGTTGGCTTAGCTGTGTTTGTTATGTAATAAAAATAAATCATGAAAGGAAGAGGGGTTATGTAAGGACCAGTGATGATTATGCGTCATGAGCCACGGATTGCACTTGGTAAAGTTCCATGCACTTAAGGTGAAAAACTAGGGGCGCCTGCATGGCTCGGCTGGTTAAGTGCCAGGCTCTTGAT